CCGTTAGTTAAGTATAATGTGGCAGTTAAATAATTTCATGTGGCATTATTTTTTAATTTTTTTGATGATGTGGCAATAATATATATTTTAATTATGTTATATAAATAAATAAAAATAACACGTAGATTAATATTTATAGTTTAAATAAAAACAAATAAAATTACCTAACCACCCTCACCCACCCAATCCCTCTTCTTCCCCTTCTTTCTTTCTCTTTCTCTCTTTCCTGCCTTGGGTCTCCACCAAGCTGGATTCCAATGGCTGCGACGAACCCAGCCTGACTGGGTCTCCCTTGCTGGGTTCCGACGAGACCCAGCTAGGTTCCGATGAACCCAGCTTTACTGTTTCAATGCTAGATTCATGTTTTTTCATTCTTCTTTCGATTTTCATTTCTAGTTGTTAATAAATTTGAGAGTTGATTTACAATTAGATTGTATTTTTATTGGAATTTGATTAGAATTTGATTGATATTGTTTATTGAAGGATTAATTTGATTTGATAAGATCTACTAAGTTTGAGGTTTCAATGAAACCCAGTAGCTGGGTTCAATTTCTCAAGTTTTCTTGAGAAAAGAGAAGAAGAAGAAATGGGTTAAGATCGATTTTGTAAAGGAGTGGAGATGAGAGAGCATTTAGAGAAGAAGAAAAAATGGATTAAGATTGATTCTGCAGATGGAGTGAAGATTGATTCTGCAGAAGGAGTGAAGATTGATTTTGCAGAGAGTGAAGATGAGAAAGGAAGATGACATGTCGTCAAAAAAGTCCAAATCAGCGCCTTTTTAAGTTATTTTTGCCATGTCATCAAAAAAAATATAAAAAATACCATGTGACCGAGTTAATGGCAAAAATTGACAGAAGGACTAACGGTGTGCATTTCGTATAATTAAGGGATCAAAAAAGTGCAAAAAATTGTTGAAGGACCAAAAATATGCAACTTACTAAAGTTAAGGGACCAAATTTAGCATTTAACCAAATAGTAATTTGATCCTTGTTGGCTACCATCTGAGCCATGAAGGGGTTCTTTAATTCTTAGCAACAGCCAACAGCTGCAACCCATCAAATAACAACGGCCATTTATCTTCTGCTGCCCTTTCTGCTCACCCAAATTCCTCCAAAAATCTGCCCTTTCTACAGTTCCCCCTTCCCTTTCTGTGTCATTAATGGCCCAGCTGGACCAAGATTTATGTACAGCAAGCACAAGGGAAAAACAAAAAACCCAAATAAAAAGATGGAAATTAAGCTGGAATGGAAACATGGATAGATATGCCTTCTACTCTCCTCCAACCACAGCTCTTTCTTTCTCCTCAAAAACAAACACAATTCTCAAATCCCACAAATACCCTTCCCCTCTATCCCATCTTCCATCTCCCGTTCTTCATGGGTCCTTTTGGCTTCTTACATTCATCAAGGTATTTCAGAGGATACACGGAACGTTTTCTCTCCTTATTCTTACCATATTTGTTTTTCTTTCTCTAGGTCTCGACTCTTCTATTCCTTCTTTCAATTGGGTTTCTTCTGTTTCCTTTGATTTCGGGGTCAAGGTTGGATCTTTGATAATTGTGATTTCCGGGAAGTTGGTGAGTTCTTTTTTTTCATTTTTTCTTTTCTTTTTCAATGATCTCATGTCTTCCTTCAAGTTTCATTTTTTTTGATTTCCTTGTTCGTGTCCAATTTGGATTCGGTTCAGGGGGGAGTTTGAATTGAGTTCTTGTCCTCTCCTTATTTAATCGGGGATGTCAGAAATTCCTTCAATTTTCAATTTTTGATACTGGGGGTTCAATTTTGCTGAATATAATGAAAAGGGTCTCTTTATATTCTCATCAACCTAATTCTGTGGATGAGCAAGCTAAGGCACGGTCCAAGCATCAAACCCTACTGGAGGACTACTTGGAATTGCAAAAGGTTAGTATTTTTTCCTGATACTCCCTTTCTATGAATGTCTTAGTTGTGATTATTGGTTAGCTCGGGTGTGCAAATTTTTGTTATTCCTATAATATTTTCTGTTAGGTTGCCAGAGCAATGATTTACTGTTGGAAATTCATGATCAAGTTTTTAGTTTCTTTTGTTTCTAAGGAAGACATTGTTTCCGAGATTGATTTTGCTCTCTATTTGGTTTCTTGGTAGTAACAAAAGCAAAAGAATGGATCATAGAAGAATGGTGCTTTGTAGTTTCTGCATACTTGTAATATGCACCAAATAAGTCACAGATATGTTGGTTTAGTAACTTAAGATGAATGAAGATTTTAATGTTTAATGTCACTATGACTTTAAAGGCAAAATCTAAAATTTTAACACTTTTATTTTACTCCTTTTCCTTCCCCACACATTCTCTACGCTAATGGATCTTCTATGTCCAGTTAGAATGATTCTGATACCATAGAGTAATATCTTCATGTCATTTACTTGTAGGACTTTGTTTCAAATAAGAAAAAATTGCAGAAGAAGAAGCAGGAGAGAGAAACCCTTTTGGCTGAAGTTAGGTATGATCATCTTTATTTCCCTAATTTGTCTCGATTGGCATACGTATCTAGATATCAAGCAAACAATGAATGACCTGGGATTGCTGTTTTTCCCTGAATTTTAGATTCTTAAGACGGAGGCATGAGTATTTAACAATGTTACAGTCTCAGAAATCTGAACTTGAGCAAGACCATGTTCAACCGCTATATGCATACATGAAAAGCAAAATGTTTGCTGAGGATAAGACAAATGATGCAAATGGAGCAGCTGGGAAGAAGACACCTCCTCCTACTTTAAACTCCACTGTGGTATATTACTTTGAATCTTTGAGACTTTGAATTCTTAGACTTGTTTTATGTGCTAATACCATTTTCATATCAACACCGAAACTCATTTCATAATGCAGGTTGAGAAAGAAGGGGATGGAGGAAATAGAAAGGGTGCTTGGGACCCATTGAGAGTGGAGAAGAAGCGAAAGGGTTCTTTGATCAATGGTAAGAGAGCTGAAAAGAAGAAAATTTCATGGCAAGATCCAGTGGCTTTGAAGGTCTAATGGCTGATCTTTTCGGATATGGTTAACTGAGAGGTGGGGCTGGGAGAAAATTTGCAAAAACTGTTCTGTGAAGGGAAACCTTTCATTGGTTCATACAGATTATTATGATTTTATTCTTTCTTTCTCCAGTATAAACTGTGAAGGGAAACAATTTTTTAGTTTAGTAATACATGCTAAAAGTGACAAGTGCCCATTCATTGAGTGGATACGGATATTGCTGTGGTTGTATTTGATTCACAGAATCTGGAAAGTTACATCATGTCAAATATTTCCGTTATTTCATGTTTTCCAGAGCTTCTCTTTCTTCATGCTTTGAAGCTTCCCAACAGAATGAACAAAGTTCTTGACCATCAGGAAAATGAGGAAACAGAAAGAGGGTACTAGAAGGTGGTTGTGTATTTGAACGAAATGGTGTGTATTTGAACGAAATGGTAAGGCATGCAGCCACCGGCTTCCCATCCTTGACAAGACAGTCATCGTATGCTAATCGTTTAAGGGCCTGTTTGGTGTGGATTATTGGAACTTCAGCTTTTGGACACTATTCATGTCTCATGCATTTAAATTTTCTTCTTAAAAATTTACATTTTTAAATATTTTTTTAACCTCAAAAAGCTCTTAAACAGTAAAAGTTCAAAAGTTTCAAATTCAAACTTTTCATAAACTCTCTTTTTACTTACTTTTCACTTACTTTTTCACCTTTCTAAAAGCTAAAACTCTATTTTTCC